TAGTAAGAAGGGCAAGCTGAGCTGTGGGAAAAAGGACAAGAAGGAAGTGTGAGTAGCAAGAACCATGATAACCAACATTGGCACATCCTGTTCACATTTCCATATATTCTTTATCTGTCACTTCCTCCTTCCAGGCCATCTGGGGAGATGAAAGGTGGTATTGTGGTGGAGATGAAGTCCAGTGATAAAGGCAATGAAGAGGCTGGTCTGCTAAACAAATCACATGCAGAACAGGTGAGGGGTCAAAGGCAAAGTTTAGCATGGTGGTCCTGAACTGGTGTTGATTCAAGAGAACACAGTACCAAAACTGTTTAATGTACAACAAAAATGTCCTTAAAATCACAATAAAATTGTCATTCAGTGTAACAGATACATTTATGTAAAAATAAAACAACATACTTATTCTGACCTTGTACTTATTAAAATTAATAAAAGACTAAGTGATCATACTAAATTTTTTAGTATTTTAAATGATAAAAACTTCTCTAAACGATAGAAAACGTCTTGCTGAAAAATTTAGAAGATTGGTAAAGATTTAAAATGACAATTAATTAGTTCTTGAGGCCTGCAATATGATCCTTAAATAGACAATAGTTTTTAATCTCAAATATTGTATTACTTTAAGCAGCTAAATGATAGCCAGTAGTGTGCGTTCATTAACAACCTTTACACTTTCACAGTGATTAAAAAAGAAGAAGAAAAGAGACAAGTAAGAACAAGATTTCCAGAGACGTAGAGGATGGCGGTGGAAATAAGAGTGCTCTGATGGAGGAGAAGAGAGGGGATGGAGGAAAGAGAAGATTAATTCATTTTAGCTGTACAGTTTTCTTTTTTGAAAGATTGTGGGAGGGGCTATGATGTTGAACTGAGGGTGGGTTTCTGTTTGGGAGGGGCAATAAATGTAAATCTGGCATTATATTGATAAGGGTACGTACTGTGTCCTGATTGTGTTACCAAGCCAATCTTTGTAGTACAACTCTGTGAAATAGAGCGCGGCTTAATGCAGTGTTCTTGTACCCAAAACAAAGCAGAAAAGTCACTGTGGACACTGGATGTTACTCTTCATGCTGTGCTGCACCCTGGTTATGTCGATTAGTTCATGTTGTTGAATAGTGCAGTACAGCCTTTTTTTGCATTACTGCACTTACTGTGTATAATTTTGATAGTGAACTGCACTCGTGCCATTACCCCGATTAGTCAACCCTACAGACCACTATACGCTTTGGCCACGATCTGCATGGAGCATATGGATGTGCCATTATACACACTGTCCAGCTGTACATTCAACGCTGGTAAAATAATCAAGCTGTCATTCATATCAGTCTTCATATGGTCAAATATTCATATTTTTGCCTTAGATATTTTAGACCATGCCTGCATGTCCCACACCTATATGTTTTGAGCTAAAACCAAAAGCCAGTGGTGACAGAAAAGAAAGAGAGTGTGTGAGAATCCCATTCAAACCATATATCTGAATGCATGGACCCATTAAGCTCAAGTCTGAGAGTTGTGGAAGAGTTACAGAACTAACTCAATCATCTCATTTCCTCTGAACTGCACTGAATTCCATTCAACAGCCCAAACATATTCAAAGACTTTCACCTAACTCTGTAATTATTACACATGGGTTAGTAAGAGGACAGGTCAGATCCTTCTTTGTCTTTTAAAACGCCTCATAACGGGATTAAGCATTCACTAGTTTATATAGACTCAACATAATTCTTTTTGGATAATTAAAGTGCTGAGCGTTTTTGGAAATGATCTACTTACTGAGCAGAAATCATAACGAACTTACTGTCCCAATATACTATTCAGTTTCATCTTTTTCCAACACTATTAATATCACTATGTTTTTCATTATTTATATTGAAACATCAAATTAAACACCTTCAGCCTTTTCTGCTCTGTGTTAGTTTTGTGAAACCCTAAGACTTTATACTTTAAAGTCATTACTCACACAAAAACAAATTCTGTCATCATTTACTCGTCCTCGTTATCGTTTTAAACCTAGATGACTTTCTTTCTTCTGTGGAACACAAAAGAAGACATTTCAAACTGTTTTTGTACATAATGAAAGTCAATGGATCCAAAATCAAACTGGATCCCAC